TCAGGTGCACTTCCTGAACAGGATCACGTGAACACACCATGTGCTCCTCGGCAATGCGATTGCCGCTCAGCTGGCAGTCGATGAGAGAATGGTTGGCCTGCGACTCGGCGCGCGCCGTTCTGCGTCAGAACCGCGGGACGCCATGAGACGCTGGCACGGCTCCAAGCCTTAAGGGAACCCAATGATTAAAAGAACCAAACACTGCCTGAAACGATCATTGAAGCGGAACCATGTGGAACATAGGGCCCCTGCCAAGATCGTGTTCCACCAAACATGGGGGTCGTCTTTCCACGGAGTCTCTGGGTTGCCAGGTCTCGGGGGGACGAGGACGGTGGAAACATCGAATTCCGAAAGCAAAGCGCCCGTGCAGGACCTGAAGTCGAAGTGTCGCATGGAGGTGTCGACCGAGCACGACCCGGGAAACCACCGTCAATGCGGTGCAAAGGCGTGCGAAGGGGCACGTGCGGGGGCACAGGAACGTGGAGGACCTGAAGGCCATGACAAATCGACATGCCTACAATCAATCAAGTGTAGACCTACCGGCAAAAGAGTTGGCACTGCCATTAAGATCATGAAGTGAGGATGCATCATCTGTCTATCCCAGCCTATCCCTCTACTGAACTAGGTCTGGTTGAATTCTGCAGCGGATAGGATTAGAGCCGATGGCGCCCGGTGGTTCGCGCCTGCATACCATCTAAGATAGCTTTTCCACCTTCTATGCCCAGATCATTCCAGCTGAGGTCCAAGTGGGTCACAGTGCCTAGGCAAAGGCATGCAAAGGCTAGAAGCTGCATGCTTCCAGGACATGTAGGACTTGAACCCTTGATTCCAGTGGTCATGAAGCTACGATGTGTCCGAGTTTTGTGGGTGGTTCTTCCATGCCGTGGTCTGGCATGCGAGTCCGGCTTCCGGCTCATGAGGGCACACCACTTCTCCTGTCCTACGCCTCAAACCCGGAACCGCAGGGGCGACCATGCGGCACCTGTTGTGTCGCCCACGGGCCGAGCATCTGTTGTGTCGCAGCATGTCTCCCAGGAAGGCACCGCAGTCTGCGCCGATCTTGTTGTTCCGCAGGTCCACATGTGTGATCGACTCGTTGTCCTACCCGCCGGTCGGTGCCCCGGACGAACTCTGGTAGATAATGAGTGAAAACAGTTTCGATATGTTTCGATCATCCTAGTCCTTAGCTAATTACTAGTAGCTTCATGTAGCTTCTTGTTACGTTCGTAGCGATGGCCTCCAATCTACTTGCGATGGCCTATGGCCGCCTATGGCCTCCACCCAATAGCGCCCTTGGTACACTAGAAGCCCACCTTGAGAACGTCACACAAAGCTTGAACACCTCGGGGATGGCTACCGATCTGGTTCCACTTGAAGCAGACCTCGGCCAGGATTCGAAACTGTCTTTCCGTGTCCACCACCGGTGCAATTGGATTGCTTTGCACGGGCCCTGTAGAAGAACCACGAACCGAACCAAGATTACCACAGAATCCACAGAAGCGCTCTTCTAGGTCCACAGATGTCCACAGGCATGCCGCATGCCGGGATAATCTAAGAGTACGACTACATAGCGCTACCATCGGTCTTCCTATATCTTCCGACCACCCAGCCACCCTGCTGGATAAATCAACCTGAAGCTTCTCGCCCAGTGGCACTGGTCATATTGGATCCACCTGGCAGTGGAAAACACGTGCCTCTCTCTCTCTCTCTCTCGCTGCGAAGATCGCAAGAGCACGCGTGGGTCTTGGGATGTTGGAGAAACCACTTCCAACGGAGCTGCCTTTCGAAGCTCGAATGCGACGACAGAGACGACTGCCTTTCGCGGGTGCTACGTCAGGACGAGGCTTAGCAAACACAAACTCTTGACGTGGCTTAGGTTGACCAGTTACGCCACTTGTGGCATACAAAACCCCGGACCTCTGAGCTCCTCCTTGGACCCCTGGTTGGACCTCTGAGCTGTGTCTGACCATTGGGGTCGCCCTCAGTTCCTTCGCCCGGCACCGCCGACCGAAGAACTGCCCCGAGACCCAGCGAAACGGGCTGCGGCTGCAGGGCAAGCAGAAACACACCCCACGCGATCGCTACTGCATCACCTGTTCTCGCCTCCTCTCGTCTGGAAATGCCATTCTGATGGATCCATCTCTGTCAGAGTACATCTTTCTCCTCCCTCCCTCTTCCTCTCTCCGGGATCTTCTACAATCACTAAACAGGCGCCCATCAATGGTCCCCATCCAAAAGCCCGTGGCGCCTTTTCGGGAAACAACCCTTACTTTCAAGTCAACTTCTTCATTTTTTCACTTCGAGCTCCCGAAGTGAAGATGTGGGGGGGAAGCTGCCTTAATGTAGACTCTTGATCAATACACCCCGAGTTGTATTGGACATCCTATGTCCTCAAGAGCCTCATGGAGGACCTCCAGGGACTTCCCACCTCCCCCAGCGATTTACACCTCCTCGCCAGGTCAGCTCAGACCACGAAAACGACTCGTTAACAGCGTTTGGGCGGTCGCACCTGACCGCAGGCCGTGTGCCAGTACGACCAGCCCATCGGCACCTGGGATCGCATTGTTGGACGGTGGGTCACCGCGTCGACCGTGGGGAAGACCCAGACACTTTCGGATGAAACACCACCCTGGTGAACGCCGCCCTGGAATCGGGCAGACCAGATCCGGATGTCTCGAGCATGAACCAAAGAGACTGACGTGACTTGGGAGATTTTCCATGTGAATATCTTTGCCCAAAGCATCGGGAATGTGACCTAAAGCCTGGCACTGGTGTGGAGAACATGTTGCTTAGATCGGGATTTGAGGGGATGATAACAACCAGCGGTCCACTATACAAAGTTCAGCAAAGTTCTATACATTCAATATCATTCAATTCTCATGAAATCTCTGCACTTCACCTGCAGCAACGAAAGGAGGGAAGCTGGAAAACAAAAGCAACCATGGACCCCAAACAAGCGCCGGTCGACCCAAACAGCACCGGATGAAGGATCAGCCTTTTCCAGACCAAGCCACGGATGTTGTTCCCTCGCAGGTCTAAAGTTCTGAGCATCACCTCATCTTCGAGTCGTGCCGACCAGTCTAGACGCATGAAACGAGCCGACGCGAGGAAGTCGCCGCGACATCGGCGGTCCGCGTGGCCAGGTGAAGCGATGTTGGAAGGGTTCGAGAAGATTAAGTCATGATCTAATTACATTGGTAATCTGCAATGTCTTCAGACCCGACCACAGCAACTACTTGTGCGCCAAAAATGATCAAAGCAAAAACATTACAAACATTTACAGAATTTGCATGTGCCTCCGCGCAGGTCAAAAGGCCGCACTGTGCAATCTGCGCATCTTTGGTGCAATGAACTCTTATCATTCTGCACTGCCACAAACTCAGCTGTCCACATTCTCGCGCATGTAACGGGCGATGGCTGTGCAGCCATCATCACCCACGGAGGCATAAGCCAAGGATAAGGCAGCCGAGTCCTGCGCCATGGAGAATCCACCCGGTGCCGTGGATTGCAAAATGGTCTGAGCTCAAAAATGTCCCGCCCTAAGAGCTATATAAGGCTATATAGATAGTTGTTCTTTTCTTTGCCTTACATAAAGCATATCAAAGACCATGGGTCACGGGCAACAGCAAATTTCCTTTGGCCACGAACTGGACATGGCCCATCAATGTAAGGAGCTATAAGGAGCTCTACATGAAATGTGCGGCACAATTATGCACAATGTCAGTGTGATATATCGCATGGTTGCGAGCCAACACCTGGCACCTGGACACATTAACATACATTAATCAAACATCGATTGCAATGGTGCCCCACGACCTGTTGATGGGTGCCACAGCAGGTTGCCCCTTTCTCATGCGATTTCACCAGCAGAACTGCCGGCACCCCAGCAAGAGACACCCACTGTTGAGCTCACCTGGCACCATCCAAACGCTGCCGGCAATTGCAGCCTTCAGACTAGAACAAAAATTCTATTGCATAACCCATCATAACCCCCACAACCAGTCGGGTTTATTCACTGACTGGAATCCCATCTCTAGCTCATCTACCTCGCAGCTCGACACAGAACCCACGTCACTCCTTGGAGGCATCCAGGTGCGCCAGCAGCGAGGGCGCCGGCATGGCCCCCGCCCGGTCCGCGTCGACGAGGCTTGGCGTCGCGCGGTTCGGGGTTCGCGGCTCGGCGCGGCGCGGAACGCAGCTTCCGCCGGGGGTCTTCCGCCGAGGGACGGGTCGAAAGCACCGAACTCGGGTGGATGAGCAGGTGAGAAAAAACCACCAAAACGGCCCTCTTTCAGTTGGGATCTTGGATTGCAGGCCTACTTCGTTTTGCCCCTGCCCCCACCATGCTAGAAAGCATTCCTGTTGCAAAAGCATGCACAAGCAGGGGATGGTTTGCAGCCATGCCACGACTCAATGATTCCTGACTCTTGCAGTAGGGCCTTGGGTGTCTTTTCAATACCACTGCAACGGTAGACACAGTAAACCAAACAACTCAGGCACCGGGCACATGATGTTGGGCTGTGTTCTTTTGAGCAGGAGGTCGTTTAAAAGCTTACGCATTGAGGTTCAAAATGTCCAGCTCATTCATTGCTGTCATTGCTGCAAGGTGTTGGCGATTGTTGGCGCCAAGATGTTCGGGTTCTGTGTCTTGGGTTTCTGACACCCATTCCCCGCCCTCCAACAAACATGGAAAATCGAAGTCACGTTGGCCAGCAGGTGTCTACTCGGTTTCCCTCTCGCTCATCTACAAACCAGATCTCTCTTCCACTTCCATATATTTGTTGGAGAGAGCCATTTCCACTCGACGTTTCTTGCTTCACCTCGCTCCAAAAAGATGGTCTTCCGGCAGCTTGTGTCACACAGGCGCCGAAGCCGGAGCCAAACACCGCGTTTCTTGGAAACGGGTGGCACGGGTTCGCTGGAGTTCACCCCAGAACTCTGCAGAGCCCAAGTCAGGCCCAGTCTAACATAAGCGGTACCGGTGTGCCACGGCGTGAGCATCATCCTGCGTGTGCCACGGCTGCGAAGAACAGGTCGAAATACTGAGGGCCCCCCCGGGCCCCCGGTTCAGGTATAGTATGGTACAGTATGTTGGAAGATATCAAGGCCATTAATCAAGTGGAAGATGTGATGTACGACCAAATGGCAAGCCGATATCAAATGGAAGAAACACCCAAAAGGTGTGCAACATCAACAAGTTTCTAGCCTGCTCCGTCACCATGAAAACAATCGACCGCAACAGCGGACAAGGCCTGTTTTGCCACATAGGGCAAGGGCCCAATGCCCTCGAAAGAACACGGTAAGACAGTTCAAATCCTGTTGCAAAGCCCGGGGCGGTGGTGTTTCCAGGAGGGTGTGGAACTTTCAAAAGGGAAAACAACAGGAGAAGCCAGCCCCAGGCCTTTCACAGCATGTCTTCAATTTCATTCGAAGAAGGTCTTCCTGCTTTTTGGTTTGTTTATCCCTGTCCCTTTCTCCGTTCTGCTTGGTTTCTTTCCACTCATACTTCTTTTCTGGTGCTATGTTGTTGTTGTTCTCTTTCCCCTCTTCTTTTACAAAGAAAACCAACTGCAGCCATTCAAATGGAAGAAACTCGTCGGCTTCTAACATGGTTTTGGGTGTTTCTTCCATTTGATCTGGGCTCCTGCCACTTGCAGACCCCAAATCAAATGGGAGAATATACTTTTATTCCCGGAGTTTCTTCCAAAATACTGGCCTGCACTATAGGTGAACCTAGGTGAATGTTGGTGCATGTTTCGTTCGCCTGTTCGGGTTTGGAGTCTCCATCGGATGCTCTAACTGGATGCGGAAGCCGCACGCAGAACAATTGTCACGCAATTAAGGACGTTTTTCATTTGTGCTTTGAGGCTTTGTGCTTGTTTGGATCTCCTCCCTCGTCTCTCTCTCTCTCTCTGTGGTAGGCATGACTCGTTCCGGAGTCGTCGGCAGGAGAGACGCCCACTGCAACCTCCCCAATTGGCCGGAGACCAAGGGGTGCAAAACAGAACTCCGGCCTTTGGGCGTTTTTACCTCTCTTTCCCACAGGCCCTCCCATCGGCAATCCCATTTTTCTGCATGTTTCATGGTATGATCATATGATCTATGACAGGCCGCCCAGTCTCTCTCACCCTCACCATCCAGCCCATCCAGCTCAGTCTCAGTCCCTGTCTCTCTCCGCCTCTGACATCCTCTCTCCACCGACTTCCCGGCCCTCCTTGCAAATCCAGCACGGAGGACCGCCGCCGCACCACCCTGGGCGCGGGTGGTGGACACTCCCGCGAGCGAGGCCAAGCACGAGGAGGGCACGAGGAGCCGCTGGTCACAGGTCCACCCGATCAGGGACAAAAGCGATCCTCAAAGAGGTGGTCGGACCCATTGGTCACTGAGTGGTCAGGTGGGTTTTCCTAGACCTTCCCATGATGACCGCGGTCGTCTAGGGCTTTCGGTCCGCGGTCGTCTTTGCCGAGGCGCTGCACGTGTCCGAATTCCACGGGGCAGTGGCGAATGCGCATGGTGCGGGTGTCCTGGCCGACGGGTCGGTTTTTCTGGGAGGCCGAAGACCACACAAGGCCTGACTCAGCGGACAGGTTTGAGTAGACATATCTCGAACTCATGCCCCTTTTTCCACCCAAGGGTCAGAAAATCACCGGTGTTCTCTGGTTGTGGGTCATCATGGGTCATCCAAGTGGAGGGCAAGATGCCGGCGTCTGCATCCAACACCTGCCGATTCCGAAGACCAAAAAGCGAGGAAGTGGACCTGACAGAGCTCGGTCGCTGGGCTCGGCCCATGACATCCACGAGAACCCACCGCGTGACCCTCCCGTCCAGGAAGCAAAGCTCCCCTGACTTGCTTCGAGCCACGGTCCTTGGCTCGAGTGATGCAGAGTGTGGATGGAACATGATGGAACAATATATGCTGCTGATGTGCTTCCCCTCAACCACAGAATCCACAGACTGGAAAACATTGGAAAACTGGCTCGCAAAGTAAAAGAGAGCAGGCTTCCTCTAGAACCTGAGTGACCTCTATTTTGGATCGCCAACCACCCAAAACATGGCCTCTTTCGATCAAAACGGGGGTCATGTCATGTCTCTAGGTATCAAAGAAGCGCCTGAAACCGGCCTCTCTGGACCATGCTTCACACCTTCACGTTTCGACCGTGGACCGAAAGCGTCGCTGACGCTCCGCTCCGTGCCACGATCCGGCGACGGATCCGGCGTCCCAAAATTGGGGAGAACAGCTTTGAAGAGAGGTGTCACCTGCCAGGTATTGCCAATTGCATGTACACAACTGGCATCCCCTTCCCCAGCCTCCGCGCCGTGTTCACGAAACCTGGAGCGCCTCCGACTCGGCCCGCCGAGCCGCTGGATCTCACTCTCAGGTCCTTGGCCGGTCCGTGCGACCGGTGGAGTGGAGAGAAGAAGAAACGAAGAACACGGGACGGGACGGGGAGAATTCGCCCCCATCCTCATGGTTCTGGAAGCACTCGCCCTAAGGAGGCATGGCATCTGAATGCCAAATCACTGGTACCAATCTGTGTATCCATTGTGGCGATGGACAGTTCACCTGCTGAAGCCTTTTTCGGACTTTGTCCAAATCCTACTCTATATAGGCAAAGAAATATATATCCGCTCCAAAACACTGGATTTTTTTTAACTACTGAAGCGGAAATGAAGCATGCAGTAGTACTGCGTCTCACGTTTCTGTACATCTCAACCCCCGGACCGTTCGTTTGCACCATGGACCGTTCGTTTGGAGCTCAAACCTCGCGTTGAGCCTGCAACTTGCAAAACAAGGCGGACAAGAATGGATCTCCCTTGAGACTTCTTCCAGGTCTGGCTTCATGATGACCATAAAATGGTGATTGGCTAACGGGGATGTTCATAGGCATAGATGCTGCCACGTCTTTTGCAGCCTGGCTGGGACGGAATACCTCGGCAAGCGCAGCACATCCAAATGCGAGGCTCCAAACCACCGATCCTCCTCCACTCGCTCTTGGCTTCTGCCATGCGCATGGCCGGCGTGGCGGTCCTGGCGGATCCCGACGCCGGGGCCGCATGTTAAGTGGAGTCCCATGAACTTTCGTCCAGATTCAGAAAACGAACCCCCCTTGGATAAGAGACCTGCCTCTATGGAGAGCGTTTCTGTCTCTTGTGGGGGACGTTTGCTGGTCGCACCCTCCGTCCGACTGGTCGCTCGCCGTACGTCTGACTGGTCGCACCGAAGGATGTGACACTAATGTGACACTCAAAAGCAAAGGACGTCACCACAAGTTCACCCAAAAAAAAAGGTGTAGCGCTGGGGTCGCAACTTGAGTGCCTGCTACTCATCGCATGGCGGATCCTTGACACGGATCCTTGTTTCAGCTCCCGAACGGAGTTGGGACGAAGGATCTTTCCGCAGTTCGCATTCCCGAAATCCGCCAAGCCACTTGAACCACTTCTACTCACGAAGCCAAGCCTGTCTCTGCCTCTGCCCTTGACAGGCCTTAGGGTACCCCTGTCCCAAGTCCTTGATCTCGGGTAGGAAGCCCATGGCCCTTGACAAGGTGGCCTGCCTCACGTGCGTAAGACCGGCAGAGCACCCGGGCACCATGAAAGAGATGAAGCTGATAAACATGCTCCAAAGGAGATACCACTATATATTGCAGAGATAGAAGAAGCCCTAACTTCAAGCAATCTTCAAGTACAGTGTTTGGGGAAGCATTGCAAAACTGCAGCAACTCTGGACTCGAATAGGCATCCAAAGTGTCTGACGTGGGCCAAATATCTCCACCCACTCCTTGAATGGACAGGCCGAGGGTGGCACTTCAGTTTGTCCGACATGCCTGACATGCCCATCCGGTAGTCTCGCCTCGGCTGTGACCAAAACTCGTCTCACTTCGGTGATTCGAAGACTTCACATGTTGGACCAACAGCACATACATGTAAAGGACAAAAGACTGACTGGCGCTTAGTAGAAAAAAAGGGACTAAGCCCCAATAGAGATTCCATGAGATTCCATTCGATCCACCTATCTACTAAGCACAAGTCAAACAAGGGTTAAATAGGATCATATTGGATCCATGATGACATGCGCGAGGTTTCTTCCCATCTTTCACCCTTGGGCCGCAGGCAACACAAATGACATCGGCCCAACCCGCGTTGCCTTGCATTCCACCGAGTCCATTTCGAGAGTTGGCTTCGCACCAGCAAAGACTGCCTGAAATCTAAGTACCACAAACCTGTTGGAACCGCACCGAGCATTCCTTTCACGTCTGGAAATGCGCCGAACATTGTTGAGCAGAGCCTTCCTCCCATCCTTTGGTCCCTTGTTCTTTGCTTTTCTCTTCTCCCTTGTTCTTTTCCTTTTTCCTTCATTCATTCCTGTTGATATGTTGTTTCTTTCGTTTCTTTCAGAAAATCTGTGCGGCTAAAAGCATGAAAACACCATAAGGTCACAACTGAGGTTGTTTTCTTACTGAGCCAGCTATAGCTCACCACGACACATCGCCCTGGCCCCACCATGGAGAGCCAAACCCAGCCTGCCCTTCTCATCCATCTCCGGGCTGGTTTGCTCAGTTTACATCGTATCCTACCAAAAGGCCACTGCACCACCGCATGAACCTTAAGACCTCCTCGCTGCTTTCACCACTGGCCCGGACCCTGGGCCCGGAAGCTCGCGCGCGAGACCGCTGGGGCCCATCGCCCACGCGAGGCACGGAAGCTTTCCACATCGCCTGGCTCCGTGGACCGGTGGTCGCGCCCCACGGCAAGGGCCCGGTCTCACCGCGACGGCCGATTCGGGGCGATGGCCCGGGCTGGCCGGAAGAAGCTTCGGCTCCCAAGGCGCGCGGCTCAAGCGGGTGAGAGGAAAGCCCGTGGTGAAACGTCTGGGCCTCACCCACGGCCAGCATTTTGGACAAGGGAAGAGCTATGAGTTCTATGGAGTTGTTCTGCCAAGTCCAAATGAAAAATAACGAGGGATGGCTATAATTACTACATGCTCACAAGTTATTGTTGAGATTTGTGGTGTGACTGGTCCTGTTTTGCTGTCTGGGGATTGTGATTGGCAACTGCAAAAGAAGTCCTAGAAATCCTGACCCTGTTATGCGGATATAAATATAATAAATATGCGTGCTTCTTGAACCATACGCACATCTCCCTGAAACTACATGTAGTGAAGCAGGACAAAGATGACGTGCAATGAATGCTGGCTGTGTTTATGCCTTCAGGCTTCTCAAGACTGCTCATGAACCACATGAAAATGCCTCACCATCTGAAACCACAAAGAAATAGGGGAGTTCACCAGCAGCGTCATCTTCCTGCCCATTTCCGACCGGGCGGAAAGGCGGCCCGGGCGTCCTGACACCTGTGACAAGTCGCGTGTGTGTCGCGAGTGTCGCATCTGTCGACCGCCCTCAAGCCTGTGTCCAGCGCCAAGAAGTTATTCAAGGGTAAGGTAAGGCTGCTGGGTAAAAGCCTCGGTGCAAACACGACTTCCTGGGTCAAAGGGGTCAGAAGGATGGGTCAGAACACGACAGGAAACGAATCGGCCACTGGAAACTGGAAACTGCCCAAAGAGATGGAAGTGGTGCTCTTCTTTGCTTGCCTGAACGGGGAACAGGAGGACCCATACTATTATACGCCCTTCAAAGGTGTAGAGTCTCCATTAGGGTCCACCAGTGCAGGAGCATCATCTTGGGCAATGAGTGGGCAGCTCCCAACACCCCCTACAACCCTAAGGATCTTCAGGGCGATCCAAAGGTCGCAAAACACCCAACGCCACGGGGAGCGAGCAACAACTACATAACTACACTCCGTTTGTGGTGGTGATGTACATTGATGAGCCAGCCGCTTCGCACCTAAAACTGGCGAAACACCCAACCTCGCGCCATGAACACAAACGCGCGGAAACAACACCAGCCGGAAAAGGACACCCCCCAAAACGAGGCGAGTTTGGTCCATCCCCTGCCGCTTCGGTCTGGACTGGAGAGCAAACAAGGAAGAAGCTTTCATGTCGTTGCTCTTCGTGCTCAGAAGCTCAAACTTGAAGGGGCTTGGGGTGAGGTTTTTTGGGGAGAAGGCGTCGGGTGCCGGGACGGCACATGTCGACGTGTCGGCCTGGGGGGGGATTTCTCAGTAACTTCATTCTCGCCAGAGAACTTGGAGGGGTGGATGGCCCAGAACATCCCTTTGCCACCGAGAGAGGACTCTCCTCATGTCCAACTGCGTTGGCCCAAGTAAGTGCGCCAATTTGGCCCCCCAACTGCTTCATGCCGTTGCAGTTCTTCGGGAAGTCCGGATCCTGGAACGTCCGTGGCCGGTGATCGCGGCGGCCGGACCCCATCGCGATCGGGTCCGGACACCCGGGCCTGTCGGAGCCGGAGGTCTTGGGAAGGTTGGCTCTTTAAAGAGTTGGATGGCACAACCTCTTCATGTAATGATCTTGATTCATGCCCCCCCCATATGAAAAAAGGTTCTTCAATCAAAAATGGGGAGGGTTTATCTACCTCAAGAGTCGACATTATGGAAGTTCTATTCATCAAGAGTCTATATTACGGCATATTACGGCCATGGTAATGTAAACGAATTAGTTTTCTTGGAGCTTTGGACATGTTTCCGACTGTTGGCAACAAAGGGTCGTCAGGTCCGCGGGCCGGACCTGGGTGGTGGTGCAAAGATCAAGGGGTAAATGGCTTGAGCGCAACCTGCGTTCCATCTTCAACTCATCCTTACCAGCTCCTAGTAGCTCATCTTTTGCAGAACTCGGGGTGAGGCTTCAAAATGCGTATATACGGTATAGGTGGTGCCACATTGCGGTCCTCGTGCCAACACCAAAGATCCAGAATTGTGCAAGGTGCAAGGAATGAGTTCAGCCCAACAAACCCATCCGGTGGATTCCACGAACCCTAAACGATTAGGATTGCAAGTAGCGGCTGGTACCCCAAACCATCCATGCTATGAAATAGTTAGGCTACACTATGCTACACCGCTGCTACACCTGATTCTATACATCGATGGCCTGGGATGCCTCGAGAATGCGCATGAACCCACGGCCTCACAAATGCCCATGATCTTCTCAGACCTGGCGCGCGCGGCCTGGTCCCCACACCACCGCGCGGTCTTGGTGCCCCGAACCATGCCGTTGCAATGCCGTTTCCAGCCGATCTCGCGCTCGTGGATCTTCATCTCCTGGCGGAGAAGAAGGACGACTCAGAGCTGAGGCGGTTTGCTCAAAACTGCAAAGCAGTTGACATGTTGGGATATATACACTCTGAGAACACATCACATGGAAGTGGAAAACCCCTTGTTGGTAGAGGAAAGTAGTCTTCCAAGGGACCATACCATCCACTTCCATGTTAGTGACTCAGAGGGTATCAGTTGACAAGATTGAGTGTTCAACACACATCATTGAACATATACGTCCGCCACGCGCGGTGCAGGCTCATCATGGCTCATTCAATCTGTGTACTGCGCCATGTGTGCAGGCTTCGATGCCCTCGTATCAACCCAAATCCGAATGTGATCCTCTCTCTCTGCAACCTTGTTGCCCAAAAGAACATCCATCCATGATCCCACTCATCCACGGATTCTCCTTCACCCCTTGGTGAAACAGTTGCTCCATATGTGGCCCCACCACAGCTTCTCGCCCACACGCTGCCGCTGAAGGGTCGGCCGATTGGCTTAGAGTCTTAGAGAGACCGGTCCTTCCGCTGCTGGGCAGCGCCCTTCTTCCAGGCTTGGAAGAACTTCTTCGTATCGCCACGCCGGCCTGTCTTCTTCTTCCAGGCAGCGCTTGGTATGCATGGGTGATCTTGGCACTGGAGATCGGTATATAACTATGGGTGTACAGCTTTATATTACACAGGTATAAGTACAATACCTCAAGGGAACTAGGGTGATGTGTAAAATGTGGGTACTTTGCCAGGACCTTGCTGCAAATATATCCTGGTCTCATCTAGATCCCTTCTTTCCTGGGTTCTGGACGCTCATCTTGCATCTGTATCTTTGAACTGCTTGGGCTTGAGAATTATATCTAATTCCTGACGGGGCCTAGCTCTCAAAAGCATTTGCCTCCCTTTGATTGCTCGACACCGACGTCGCACACCTCCCATCAACAAGTTCAAAATCCTTTGCCGCTTCTCCTGCACGAGGAGCGAACGCAGCTTTGACGACTCTGGGAAGGAGTCAAAGAGTGAACTGAAGGTATTTCCAACGCATCTTTAGCGGAGATCTACTTTTCTATCTATTCGGGGGTCTCTCTCTGTCTCTGTATCAATAGCGGCTGCGAGTCAGAATCACACATCCCGGAGATTATGCCCAAACATCTCCATTTGATTCCGTTTGAACATTTGGGAGAACATGGGAGAACTTTTTTGAATTAAGACTTAAGAGTCGGCGTGAATTAGGTCACTGGGGAAAGGATAATAACACGATCGCCATCTATGACCATTGAGACGTCAATTGTTGCTTTGATATTTTTGGGTCGCTGTTCTTGCAACCGGCTGGGCCGACCCATCTTTGGGCACACCGGCACACGCGCCAGACGCACCTCACCTCTTTTCAGCAGGAAGCCAAGGCATCAAAATCAAAGTGAAAGCGATCCCGCACGAGTCCGGCGGCGAAGTCGCCGAGCGTCGCCAAGGGCTTCGAAGAGGAGGCCTTCTTCTTCTTCTTCACCGCAGGGAATTGCGGGAGTGGAGTACAATGTTGGTAATACCTGCACAGTGCTCCCTCCACGCGTCTCAGAGATTTCTCCACGTCCTCCATGCAGAACATCACTTCCTGGCTCTCGTGGCCGAGTGGCCGATGGAGCGCTGGACGCACGTGATCCAAGTCGCTCGCTTCGAAGAGGGATGAGCTCGAGGCATTGCGACTCAAAATCAATCGAAGCCAGGTCTCGAAACTCGGCTCTGGCAGCAACTGCCCCTTCCGTGGAAACCAATAGCCCTCAAAGAAGCTCCACATCCGTGCCACGGGATCGCGCAGAAAGATCACCCGCAGTCGCCCAGAAGCTCTGCGACAGCAGCTGGGGCACAGAGCCATGGGCAAACCGATCTGGCCCTGGTCCAGCATGCCGACGCCTCGTGAGATGGAGAAGAAGGCCAAGTCTCCACCACAGCCCAAACGGGTCTCCTCATGCTCCAGCCACTCCCAGGCCTTGTCTGGCGAAGGCCGAAGCCGAGGCAAAACGCAATCGTACAGAACAAGCACATCTGGGTCAAACATGGAGGCATTCCCACAAAGGCATTCCGTGTTTTTCCTTGCAGTACTTGTCGTCACGTGCACCTGGGATAAAAAGATAAAACACCAGTTCCCAGTTCCCCCCTCAGAAAAAATCGACTCAAATGTGCGATGTGGGGCATATCGTGCCAGTTTGTTGCTTTCCTCGCTGAGCCCCAGCTGCACGGCCAAGGTTCGACGCACCGCAACGATGCCAGGCATCAGACCCTCCAGCATGGCGGCCCAGACGGTGGCCGAGCGGCTCCCAGCCTTGAGGGTCAACTGGAGTGCCAAGGGCAGCCCAGGGGGGCAATAGAACTGGCCAGAGCGCTCACAGGCCTCGCAAGTAAATGGAGGAGGTATGAGCTGAAAACGGATGAATCACAAAAAAGGTCTATATGGATCATGAGGATACTTTGCCAAATTATGTAAAATTATGCAAATATATTAAAATGTGAACTCCCCGCGGGTTCGCAAAAGCAGGGGGCGTTCCCACAAATTCCCCAGAAGTCCAGGCCAGGAAGCTGGTGCATACAAGAAGTTGGAATCTCCAAAATCATAGGGAAGTCCCAGGAAGACCTGGCACCGAGGCAGGGCGTATTTGCTCCACTCATCGCACTTCTCTCCCAAACACACGTCTGCCACTGCTCGGTGCGCGTCGGCCGCGCATTCGAAGCGGAGGGACTGAAACGCTTGGTCTCGCAACCGCAGCGGTCCGAACAAGCGTTGGAACTCGATCTCCGCCACCTCCGCCGGCACCACGCCGTCCTCTCGACTCACGGTACCCAGCTCCGCCAGGATCGTCGCAGCTCCGCCGGGGCAGAGCTCCCGGGGCGCGAAGCTGGACAACGCCGGGAGCGGTCCAGCCCCACTGGGCAGGTAAGGGTGCGTCACGCGGACGGCACCTGGAGATCGATCACCGAGGCGCACACAGGTGCCTGAACAGCGCTGTACTAAACAGCGCTCGTCTCCCATGTGAAAGGCGATCCACGCGGTGTCTCCCAAAAGCCCACTACCACTCAAGTTGGTCCGCCAGGCGTTGGCTTCTGCGGCACAACCCTCCAGCGGCTGCTGTGTTAAACCCACCTCTCCCAAATCTTCACATGTGCAGCGCTCGTGCAGTTCTTCAGGGTGCTCATCGCTGATCCAAGTCCAATTCAAGCATCGCACCTGGGATCTGGCATGTCCACACTGACAGGTGTTCCTAAATCCTAATATATATACTTTAAATAGTTCGACATCTTGTGTGCCTCTATGTGTTAAAACATGATAAAATATGTAAACATGTCGTGTGTACTGTGTTGCTGTGTACGTCTGTGTGTGTGTGTGTGTCAATTTTCCCACACAATCTGATCCCTCAAGCGGCGGAACGCCCATCCCTTCCGGCGGCTCGTCGCATGTGTAGCGGTCCCGGTCGTTGGGCGCCGAATCCCTTCGCCGGGTGACCCAGGGTGATCCACCCACCAGGCTTGCCAGCAGCGTGAGGATCTTCAGCATGCAACGAGGTGATCTCAACAAAAACCATCACGTGATTGGTTCAGGTGAGCTATTACATGTCTAATGTGTGCTATACCTTCGTTTTTGGGGAGGCCACCCTGGCGGCCACCCCCACGCCCAACAAATGCTGCTTGGATCATGCTGTCTCTAGTGGCCTCGCTTTTTCTCCCCAAACGACCCGACTCTAAGGATCTTCTCACAAGCCAAGGGTTCCATTTCTTGATCCTACAGACGCCTCCTTCCGAGCCGATCAAGAAGGGCAACCTGATCCCAGTTTCGTCCAGTCCCCGACTTCCTCTCCACTCGAGATGAAAGACTTCAAATGGGGTCGCCCAAATCAGACTCAAGTGACATCCAGACGGTTCCCACTACGGTTCCCCTGCAACCGTTTGCCATCTGTTCCAATGCTATCAAAGCTTCAGTCAGGTTCAGTGCCGTTCTAAGAGATTCGCTCCATACCGACCGACCTTAGTGGAATCAACTGATGGGTCGGTCCGTGAGTTGACCCTGGACTTGTCAAAGACCATGGCCTCGCTACATCTGCGCGCGACCACTCCAATCCGGTTCTCTCGCATCGACCGGTTTTTCCCCCCTCCGGCACCCGAAGAGTCAAGCCATCCAATCACCCGCGCCTACGATGCGTTTCATGGAGGTTCCAGATCATGGCGGCGCCTACGATCTAGTCGGCTCCTGCTGATAGACTCAGGAAAGAGAACCCCAAAAAAAAAACAACAGCTTCAATTGTACGGCCCTTTCAGGTGGCTGAAGCTTCCCCCAATGCCAGCCCACCCCCTTCCCCATCAACACCAAAAAAGCTCGTTCATATCATATCCCTTCATATCCCTCCTCCAGCAACCTAAAAAAGGAGGGTCCAAAATCACCCTGGAAGATTGAACCATGGAACCTGAACATGGACCAGACTGGAAGACCCTCTTCCTTGACCCTCTTCCATGGTCCGCCTCGTGGGTCAGCTCCGTGGGTCTGGATGTGGGTACCTTCTCCCACCTTCCGCACCCACCCAGGTCCCGACCTCTTCAGGGTCCACCGCATCGGGACCCACGCCTTCTCGGTCCTCAAACGAACACCGATGGAGAGCCGAGGTTGGTGTGGCTGGGCCGAGGAGAAGAACACGAGGCCCTTCTTCCACCCTTGCCGGCTTTGGGGGATCGGCCCCCAATCCGTGGATCTGGGCCTTTCGATGGGAAAAATGCCAGGAAAACACCATGTGATCAAGAATCAGGGATGACAAAGCAGCAAAGTAAATGACAGGGGTCACATGACTAGTCACCTAGAGAAGACCAGCCCTTAGGAGACCGGCATCTCTTGGTCATGTCAGGTCAAACGACAGTCTTATCACCAGACCGGTGTCTCATGGTGCTTCTGATCGATCTGCCAAGCGGCCATCTTCTCCCTCTGCTTCCTCATGGCTGCCCTGGCGGAGGTGCGACGAGTGTGACACTCCCCGAGAACTCGGGGATCCGATAGCAGCTGAGCAGGCAAGAGTTGACGGACTCGGAATTTTCAGGACAAATCCACTGAAATGCTTCAGGCACCAAAGTTTTGAGAACACACGCGACGGGACCGACCTCTTAAGGACTTCTTCCTGGCGTTTCTTGGCCTTGCAACGAGCTCGTGCACGCGGGAAGCGACGGGACGTATCAACAGATTGTACAGGAGCTCGTGCATGAGCTCGTGCACGTTCTCTGCGTCTTTTTGTTCCCCTTGCGTGGCTCTAGACGCAGGCCAAAACCCGTACCCTGAAGCAATACAAAAAGCTAGTAGGATGGAGGCCATTGCTACTAGGGTGGAGGCCATCGCAACTAGTAGCAAGAAACTTTTGTGTTGGAGGCCATCGCTGTAGCAAGAAGCTGACTTGAAGCGTGAGAAAGCAGACCCAGGCCCGGACCCTGGCATCGGCTTCCGCCGCCAGAGCGGCCTCAGTCGGGCAGAGGCCGCTGGGTCGGAGAGTGGTGCCTGGAGTGGATGTGATCCGCTCTGCATGGGTTGGGTCTTGGCCAGTCTTGGACGGTGCGGCCGGTCTTGGACGGTGGAGCTCGAGGTTGGCAGTTGGGGGTGGAGCCCGAGGTTGGCGCTCTGGACGTCGAATGAAGTCGATACGGTGCGCGTTAAGACCTGTTTGGCCAAGGGCACTCCATTTTTGGGATGAAGCATGACACGAGAGCTGAAGAGGAACAAGGCGGAACTAAAATTGTTCCTAAAACAACCATCTTGATTGCCAAGGATAGGGCCTTCTTCAAAGCCACCAGGGATCAGTGTTCTCTTGCTTGATTCAACCAAGGATCTCTGGCGGTGGTTCTGACCTCCAAATCCAGCTTTTTGACTCAAGTTCCCACTGCATCGCCACCGCTTCTCCAGCCCCGACACGACCTGCCCTTGCACCCACACCGACGTTTCGGCATGTTTCGGCCACCGGTCTGGGCTCCACGACATCGGTCTTCGTTCGGGTGATCAGACCCTTGTACTTCCCACCTGGCAGAAGAAACCCGGCGCTGGGAGCTTCCTTGTTGGGCGGTATCCACTGGTTCGTCTTCGGGGCCCGGTGTTGGGGTCGACCGTGCTTTTGGTCAAAAGTGTCCGAAACGAAACGATCGTGGGGTGCGGGTGTCCTGGCAGGTGGATACAAGTAATTAGGCGAATGCCACTATTCTTAGATAGATATAATATATATATATATAACGACGGCAGACTAGATAGACATATTTTTGACTCGGGGCAACGTTGATTTTTTGACTTGATTTTTTTTTACTTGCTTGAGTATTTCTATCTTTGGGACGCGTGTGATTTACAGTGTTTTGAGAAATGTATGTTTTTTATCTTGATTTTGTTTGTATTTACAGCACTTTGGGTACGTGGTGTTGATTTTCACTGGTATTTACAGCACTTTGGGCACGTGGTGTTGATTTCCACTGGTATTTACAGCACTTTGGGCACTTGGTGTTGGTTTTCCACTGGTATTTGCACCCGATTAACATGAAATCAACCTCGATTAAAATGAATCATATGAGATCTACTTCATCCTTGATGCCACCAAACGGTCCCTGGAATGTCCTATAGACCCGGATGTCCAAAGAGCGGGCACAGGAGCACCTCTGGCATCGTAATGTCGGAGACGTCTATGTCCGCGACATCCAATGTCCGAGACCTCTATGTCCGAGACCTATCTGTCCAAGACCTGTGTGTCCGGGACCTCTGTCCAAGACCTGTGTGTCCGAGACCTCTGTCCAAGACCTGTGTGTCCGAGAAGACTGTCCGAGACCTCTGTTTCAAAAAACCTCTGTTTCCAAAACATCTGTGTCCGAGAGGGCAACATCCTTCTCGAAATTTGACCCCTGCATGGCCCACAAAAGGGTGAGTCAACTTTGCATGGCCACTTCTTTCTCTAAACTTTTCTCCTTAGAGAATTTCACCCCTGCATTGCCCCCACAAAGGGGTGAGTCAAGTTGAAATGGCAACATCCCAACATCCTTTTGACAAACTTTACACCTGCATTGCCGACAAAAGGGTTAGTGAGCTTGGAATGGTCACTTCCTTCTCTAAATTTTACCCTCAAGTGGCTCACCAAAGGGTGAGTCAACTTGGGAGGGCAACATCCTGAAACTAAAATTTACCCCTGCATTGCCCAGAAAAGGGTGAGTCAAGTTGAAATGGCAACATCCTTCTCTAAATTTCACCCTCGGGTGGCTCACCAAAGGGTGAGTCAACTTGGCAGGGCGCGGCAACACCCTTCTCTAAATTTTTTACCTGCGTTGCCCACAAATGGGTGAGTCAACTTGGAAGGGCAACATCCTTCTCTAAATTTTACCTCTGCATTGCCCAAAGGGTGAGTCAACTTGAAGCGGCAACATCCTTCTCTAAATTTTACCCTCGGGTGGCTCACAAAAGTATGCACCATTGGATTGGCAGCTCTCTCCTCTAAAGTTTACCCTCGGGTGGCTCACAAAACGAACTATGGTGAGTCCAACAATGTGGAATCTAGATGAACTAAAAAAAACATGAACAGTTTTTCAATCCAAAAGGGGTGGGTCCATGGCATGCGATCTGGTCCCTGTCTCGGTGATCCTTCGACCAGGCCACATTGCCACATCGCCCGAACCACAAAACATCGCCAAAACCGATTTTGGAGGCCAAGAACAGTGGAGCCTTTTGGATCCCTTTGCGGATGCAAGCGGAAGAAACCGCTTCAAAACAAGATTCCGAAGGCTTGACAGAAGATCTTGTAAAATACATATAATATACAAGTAGTTCCCGGGCAAGCCGGCGGCGGAAGTTTCCAAAAAAATAAACCTATAGGGAATGGGCATGTGGCAGGCTGATTCGCCGAGCTGCGATGTTCATTGACAAAACAAGTTGGAACCGACCAATGGAGCGAAAGCGCAGCAACCACCGTCAACTGTCTCGCAGGAAAAAAGACGTTGTTCATGCATTTTGCAAAATACAGAGTAGAGATGACTCAGCCGCGTACTAGAGTTGTACTACAAAGTCGCCAGTTCTCAGCTTCCAGCTCCACGGCTTGCTCCGCGTACTAAAGTTGTACTAGAAAGTCGCCAGTTCTCAGCTTCCAGCTCCCCAGATACTCCGCGTACTAAAGTTGTACTAGAAGGTCGCCAGTTCTCATCTTCCAGCTTCCCAGATACTCCGCATACTACAGTTGTACTACAAAGTCGCCAGTTCCACTACACATGGAGGTTCACAAAGTGCTGCACCTGCCACGAAATCTGCACATGGAGATTCACAAAGTGCTGTGCCTGCCACGAAATCTGCACATGGAGGTTCACAAAGTGCTGCACCTGCCACGAAATCTGCACATGGAGGTTCACAAAGTGCTGTGCTTGCCACGAAATCTGCACATGGAGGTCACAAAGTGCTGTGCCTGCCACGAAATCTGCACATGGAGGTTCACAAAGTACTGCGCCTGCCACGAAATCTGCACATGAAGGTTCACAAAGTGCTGCGCCTGCCACGAAATCTGCACATCAAGCGCCGGTGCCCAGCCGACGCCAGGGCGTACATCCGACCCCTCGGCAAGCAGCAAGCGCCGCACACAGTGCACATGGAGGTTCACAAAGCGCTGCGCCTGGCACGAAATCTGCACTTAGACAATCCAACGGTGTCCCAGGTACATCGTTCCCCACCAAAGGCAACATACGTCTCCATTT